ACAGTAAGGGCAAGCGAGTTGTGCTTGTTCTACCTGCTGTATGGTATCTAAGCGTAAGGTCATGTTGTCTATTTGCGGGTGATGTTTGTCCTTCCCGAAACCAGGAGTCGGTGGTGAAGTCTCGAGAGCAGTGGTAAACAGTTCTCTGGTTTCTTCATACTGCGGTTCCTCCCTTGGGCTGTAGTAGTTAGTTTCAGTCTCTTTCGTTGGTAATTGTAGTTTAGGTATAGTCATCTTCATTGTTGCAGGGCCTTTGTCGCTCAGGACTTCCATTCCCTGGTCTTGCCGAGCATAGATTATGTCCGTTCCTTCCCGTTGTCCATCTGCACGTCTTCCTGTGCCTGTTTTGGTATTATATAGTCTAGAGCCGCCACTTCTTTAATTCTTGGCGTTAGTCCTTTGGTTATCTCGTTAACGTGTCGCAGTATAGAGGTAGCCGTTACTCCACTCGTGTTGTCGAAAACTCTAGCCAACAGTTGCGTTGCGGTGTCAGTCAGTACGGCTCTTTGCTGTCCCGTGAAGGGAATCTCCCTCCATAGGTAAACAATATGTGGTAGTATTATTGAGCATGCTCCACTGACCTTGATCCTAGTATTGATCATCGATGGCGGAATGTTCCTCAACGTTTCTATATAACCCTTTGCTGCTTTCCTGGATTTGTTAATCCTGTAGTCAACCTCCGGATTCATACTCATTTTGGTATCCAAAAGGATCCCCATCCACTTAGCCGTTCGTATTTCTTTTGTATCACGATCAAGAGTTAATTGCACTGTTTTCGTGTCATTCTGGTACATCCCGTATTCCGCAGCCGTCTGTTGGTTGATGTTCAGGACTTTCTGGACATCAGCCGTATCCTCTAGTATCACCGCCTTGTCATCCGCATACATAATAACATCATATTGCACCCTTGGCATCTTACTCCGACACTTTTTCTCTCTCTCAGCCTCGACAAGGTTAAACAGCGTGGTGCTGAGCGTGCACCCCTGCCTGATCCCATTTGTCAGTGCAAAGGGTTCTGCAAATCTCTTAGCCCATTGTATCTTCACTTCCGCATCGACGTATTGGTCACGGATGAGATTATACTCCTTAGCAGGTATATCGGCAGCTCTTAATGCTGCAAAGAGGGCGGTGTGGTTCACTGTGTCGAAAGCCTTTGATAGGTCTAGCAGTAGCAGCGTTTGTCCGGGTCGTTTGAACTTGTCAAAGAGTTCCACAACTGCTGTGCCAGGTCCCCTTCCTTTACGATACGCATGTTGCTGTGACAGCAGATGTGGTTCAATGTAGGGTGTGATGTGCTGTAGTATAATCTGATTGATTATCTTCATCACGGTCGATGGAATGGTAATAGGTCTGGTGTTGTCGACAGTGGCCCTTGGTTGTGCCTTCGGTATAGGTTTCACCTTCATGTCGACCAGCTGTCTCGGCAGCTTCGTGTGCCTCCATACCTGTTCAGTAAAATCTTCAAGGTCTTCAATCGGTATAGTGTCAACATATCGAGCCGGTATGCCATCCAAGCCTGTAGCGGCCTTCTTATTGATGGCCTTCATCGCAGCAACAATTTCCTGGGTACAAGGTGGTTGATCTATGTAGACCTTGGCCTCTTTCCTAAGTGGTATGTACTTGCCATCAGTCTGATTCCATCTCTGATGCAACATCTGCCGTAGTTGCAGTCTGGCCTGCTCCGGGTCCATATCCTTACCATCTAGATCAATCAACGTTAGGCCTACTTCCCCATTCTGTTTCCTGTATTGCTCCCATAGTCTCTGGTACGCGTTAGGCTGTCTGTTGGTTTGAATTCGCTGTGTCTTAAAGTGGAGTTTAAGTTTCTGCCTTAAACAAAGCCAGGCTTTGGTAGTAGGGTTCATATAATCCCTCACAAAATGCTGATTCATCGGTCTTCCTCGGTTGTAGTTAAGTGAGTGTATAACCCATTTGTATATTAGTATGGCATGATCTGCAGGGGCGTTCTCCCAGTCCAGCAGAACCCCTTTGTCGTCATTAGGTGGTATGGTGTTGATTAGCATTCGGTCAAGTGTTCGACTTGGGGTGTGATCTTTGGATCTCTTCGATATCCATGTGGGTGGGGTCGGAAGTATGGTAAGGTCGTGGTGTTGGACCATCCTTTGCAGTCGGGTGTAGTTGGGTATACCTTTAACCGTCCTCAGTTCCGTCTTTTCGTGTCCGGCGTTGAGATCTCCAGCAATCAGTAGCGGCCTATCCGCAGTTATCATTGTTGCTAGGTGCTCCCAGTACTGTGCTTTAATCTTGTCGGCGGTCTGTTCAGTGGGCCCGTAAGTGCCTATGCAGGTAACTAGCCCATCCAGTTCAACGGAGACTGTCCTTGCGGTCTTAGTGGTTATCCGGTATTGCACATCTTGCCTTATCATTACGGCTACTCCATCTGCTGGTCCTGCCTTCCCTATGACTGTATACTGACTCCCATATATGGCTCTGTGCAGAGTAGTACATGTCTCTGTAATGACAACTAAGTGTGGTCGGTTGCCTAGAATCAGGTTCCTCAGTTGTAGTTCCTTCTTGTCATTGTAGCCATCAACATTAACTGTCATGACAAGATAGTGCTTTGGTCTGCTTCTGGTTCGCAAAGTGGGGAAGTCCTGTCGTGCCGTTGTACCTTCAGTTGGTGCTGCTACGGTAGAAACGGGTTGTCTGCCGGAGTGCTGGTCTGCGGCGACACTATAATGGTTAACTTGTGGTACATCATCGTTTTGGTGATGCCGTTGTCCATCAGGTCGATCAGTTTCTTGGTGATTAGCTCTAGGTACCTCCTGGCATCCCAGTGCCTCTCGTAGTCCAGGTCCTTTAGTCGAATGTTCACAGCCGCAGTTAGTG